CTGCTCAGCAGGGAGTCTGCTTCTCCCTCTGACCTTCCTCCTTCTCATGCTCTCTGTCTCTCATTCTCTCTCTCAAATAAATAAATAAAATCTTTTTAAAAAAAAATTACTGTTGATATTTTTAACAGGATCAATGTGTTGCATATGCTTTGTCATATTTGAAAAATCTTGGGTCACCCTTTTGTGATACAGCAATTCAAGTTCTGGTTATATGTTCACTTCACTTTGACGCTTGGCTTCAAAGTCCATCAGAGCTGAAGCAGACACTTTACAGATGGAGATACATAGATCCAAATGGAAGAAAGGCCTCATCCGATGAGCTTTATTAACTCCCCACACTCATTTTTCAATCCTATCTTTTGCGCAAAGACATTTGTTGAAATTTTCCTTGATTTAAGGTTTTTGTTCTTCGTCATGTGCAACAAAGTAAATGGAAACATTTCTAAACACCTGTTTTCAAAATGTTCTTGCCATAGGTTGAGTTTCTTTTGAAGAGAAATGACTTTTTCACTAACTGTTAGAGTGCTACTTCAACCTTGAAAGGACAGATTGTGGGTTTACTCTTTGTGTATGTATGTTTGTATTTTTGTGTGTATTTACTTTTAAAAACAGTATGTGCTAGATGCCATACTAAAAATATCCACTTGCCATGACAGAAAATGACAGCTCCTCTGCAAACACTTGTCCTTTTGTCAAAGAAAGAATGCACGACTCGTTCCCAGGTTCTACAGCTCCTTTAAATACACTGCCATGAGATGACCAGCGAGGTACCTGAGGCTGACCTGCCATTCCCCATTGCAAGGCAAAGCGCTATAAAGATCCCACAATTTGAAGGCTTTGTTTTTATGAAATTAATCCCATCTGATGGTATCCTATAAGCATGGAAGTTGCAATTGGCAGTAGGCAAGACCCCGAACCAGGAGAAGGTCCCTCCCCTCTCCTCTCTGCATCTCCCTCTCTGTGTGCACATTGCTCATGGTAATGGCAGCCATGTGAGACATCAGACTGTCTCATGTTCGGATCAAGAGGTGGCATCTTAACGGATCGTCTTGAGTGTCCCGTGGAAGGTGTGTACCCCACGTGAAGATTCTCTACACAAGGACTCTTCTCCAAGTGAATTCAAAAACTTGTTTTCCTTTAGTCTCTGAAATACTCTTCCCTCCCTTTTAAAGTAAAATACCAGCCAGATTTCGTCTCCACAGGACTATACCCTCAGGGGAGTTGGCTAGGGTTGCTCTGGGAAGACTTGGCAGGTTGTCCCTGGGACTGTCCTATGCCTGGGGCAGCAAGATGATAAACATGACAGCATCTACAACTTCTGTTTATTGGGCTATTATTTTGTGTGGGTCCCTACTCTAAGTGTTTCATAAATATAGTCGGTTCTCTTTGTTCATTCTGGTTCTCTTCCATAACATCTCCCCAAATACTGAATTGGTGAATTCTGAACCATTGCTCCTAGGGGAAATATAGGATGTGGTTCCTACTAGCCTCTGGTCACAACATTTTTGTCAACCGGTTAGTATGTAACTTTGTTTTATGTGTGTTTCTGTTTAAGGATTTTATTTATTTTAAAGAGAGAGGGAGCATGAGTGGGGGAGGGGCAGAGGGAGAGGGAGAGAGAGAATCCCAAGCAGACTCCTTGCCAAGTGCAGAGCCCAACGCAGGGCTTGATCCACAACCCTGAGATCATGACCTGAGTGAAAACCAAGAGTCAGATGCTTAACTGACTGAGCCACCCAAGCGCCCCATGTGTGTTTCTGTTTAAAGAAACCTTATAAAATATATGTTGTTGCTTCATTAATATTGAATTCATGGCCAACAGCACTATAACTTGTGCTTGAATGAAGACTATCTAACAAATGTACTTTCTCCATAAGGCACACCACAGCCCTCTTGCACTGAGGAACTCCAGACAGTAGTTCAGCACTGTTTAGGAGCCCTTTTAAATAAAAAAGTACCAATAAAAAGCACAAAAATGCAGAAAAATGTGGCGCTAAATAGACTACAAAAAGAACACCTGTTTGACCGTGGCTGAGAATGTGCACACTGGGCAACTCACATTTTTTCATCACTCTGCCCATGTTCGCAAAGGACCACACAAGTGAGCAAGTATTGATTTTGGGGTTACAAATAAATTTTAGTGAATAGGTGATACAAATATGGAATCTAATGAAGATCGACTATAATATCTCATGGTACCCTTGTGAAATAGATACTAGTACAATGATACGTGAACTGAAAGGAACCTCCAGAGTCTCTGTCTTCTTTGAGACTTTGGGAAGCTAGGACAGTGAAGTGACTAACCCCAAAATGTCCAGGACACACACATGGCACTAAACTCCTGCTCTCCCAGCCACGGGTGGTGCCCTTTCCACTGCATATCTTTGG